GATCAATTTTGAATTAATTTTTTGTAAGGTCTGTTGTCTAGAGTCATATTTTGAATTGGATACCCAGTTGTTCTAGGACCATTTGTTGAAATATAATCTTTGATCCACTGTATTGCCTTTGACCCTTTGTCAAAGATCAGTTGACTGTATTTATGTGTGTCAATTTCTGGGTTTTTTATTTTCTGCTATTGATCTGTCTGTTCTCTCACCAATACTACACTGTCTTGATTACTATAGCTTTATAGTAAGTCTTGAAGCCGGGTATGGTCAGACCTCCAATTTTGTTCTTCTCCTTCACTATTGTGTTAGCTATTCTGTGTCTTTCGCCTCTTCATGTAAACTTAAGAATTGGGTTGTCAATATCTACAAAATAATTTGTTGCGATTTTAATGGTATTGCTTTGAATTTAGAGATCAAGTAGGGAAGAACTGACATCTTGACAATATTGAGTCTACATGTCTATGAACATGGAATATCTCTCCATTCATTTAGTTCTTTGATCTCATTCATCAGAGTTTCCTAGTTTTCCTCTTATGGATTTTGTACATAATTTGTTAGGTTTACACTTAAATATTATTATTGGATGTTAATGTAAATGATATTGCATTTCTAATTTCACATTCCATTTTTTCATTGCTGTATATAGGAAAACCATTGGCTTTTATATGTTAACCTTGCTTCCTGTGACCTCACTATGTAATAGCTTTTTAGTTGAAGTAGGTTTCTCTTTTTTTGTCACTTCTTTCTGATTTTCTACATAGATGATCATGTCATCTGTGAATAGAGACAGTTTCATTTCTTCCCTTCCAATCTACATACCTTTTATTTCCTTTTCTTGTCTTATTGTATTAGCTAGACTTTCCAGTATGATGTTAAAAAGAGGGGGTGAGTGGGGAGATCCTTGCCTTGTACTTGATCTTGGTGGGAAGGCTTTCAGTTCTTACCACTAAGAATGGTGTTAGAGATAGGCTTTTTGTAGATATTCTTTATCAAGGTGAGGAAGTTTCCCTGTATTCCTAGTTTACAGAGAGTTTATATAACGAATTAGTGCTTTGCTTTGTTTTTCTACATTTGTTGATATGATCATGTGATTTTTTTTTCTTATCCTATGGATGTGATAAATTACATTAACTGATTTTCAAATGTTGAATAATCTTTGCATACCTAGGATAAATCTCACTGAGTCACATCCATAACTCTTTATACATGTTGTTGGATTTGACTTGCTGATATTTTGATTAAGATTTTTACGTCTATGTTCATGAGAGATATTGGTCTGTGGTTTCCTTTTCTTGTAATATCTTTGTCTAATTTTGGTATTAGGGTAATGCTGGCCTCATAGAATGAGTTAAGAGCATTTCCTCTGCTTCTGGAAGAGGGAATTGTAGACTTGGTATACATTTTTTTCCAATGTTTGGTAGAATTCATCAGTGATCTTTCTGGGCCTGGTGATTTCTGTTTTAAAGGGCTGTTAGCTTTTTATTCAACTTCTTTAATACATATAGGCCAATTCAGATTGTCTATTTTTTCTTGGCTAATTGTATCTTCCTAGAAATTGCACCATTTCATCTAGATTATCAAGTTTATGGATATGAAGTTGTTTATTGTATTCTTTTATCATCTTTTTAATATCCAGGGGATCTGTGGTGATGCTTCCTCTTTCATTTCTGGTGTTAGTAATGTGTGTCCTCTTTCTTTTGTTCTTAGTTTAGCTGGTTAGAGACATCAATCTTATTGATCTTTTTAAAGAAACTGCTTTCAGCTTTATGGATTTTTTCTATTGATTTCCTATTTTTCAACTTCATTAATTTCTGTTCTCATTCTTATCATTTCTTTTATTCTGTTTGCTTTGGACGTAATTTGCTTTTCTTTTACTAGTTTCTTAAGGTGAAAACTTGAATTATTGATTTTAGGTCATATATATATATACATATATATATATATATATGTATATATATATATATATATATTTCCCCCTCAATGGTATAAATTTTCCTTTATGCACTGCTGTTGCTGCTTCCCACAAATTTTGGTAAGTTGTTTTTTTCATTTTCATTTAGTTCAAACTACATGCTCTTCACACATATGCTCATGTACGTGGTGCCTTGTGTGAGGTTACTCTCAACCTTGTTATTGGCATACCACTAACATCAATCTTCTAGCAAGCAAAACATCCATCATAGACTCACACAATAATAGAATTGGAAGCAAAGTTAAAATATATCTAATTCCTTTTGAAGATGAGTAAAATTGAGGCTCATAGATATTAAGGGGCTACACAAGATCACAGATATACTAGTGGCAAAGAAGAATGAAAACATCTCTTTTTCTTTATATGGTGTATCTTCCCTGCACACAACTACTGGAAATTGGGTAGTGGTTGGTTATATGGTCTCAGAATAAATTTACTTATATTTAGTGCTTAAGAGGTAAATAGATTTTGAGTAAGAAATAAAAGGCCTACGTGGACATTTGTAGATATAAAATCCTAATAGAAGAAATAAAAAGAAAAGATAAATAGTTCTAAAAACAGTTTTATTACTACATCAAGTGATAAAATAAATTTTATTATTTACAAATATAATCTGACCTTTAAAATGTTTTGTTGTTTGTTTTAAAAATATTCATTAGATTTATTTTTATTATTTAAAAATATAATCAAAGTCCCTGATAGAATAACAGCTTGTTACAGATAATTGTTTATCTTTATTCTATATTCCATGAGCTTAATTTTATAATTCAATTATCAAATAACATATACTTAGTAACAGCTATTTTTTCTAAATACTTCAGTACCATAGAAAAATGTGCTTTATTAAGAATGATCTAAATATACAAATTTAAAATAACCAAATAATTTTAAAATAAGAAAAATTGCCTCTAAATATTGTGAGGGAAAATTCCATTAAAGTACCTTAAGTTTTTGATAACACAGAATGCTCATTATCTACTGTGAGCTTTTGCTTAAATATTTCTAAATAAGAATTTGCATTATCATTGGTTATCACAGTGTGTTATATCTCCTGCAATGAAATAGTAAAACAGATGGACTTACTGGAGGTAAAAAGACACCAATTGAGCTAAAATTATTGCATTCGTTTCAAGGAAATCAATTACTAGATATCTGAGAAAAAGTATTAACATTTATAGCTAACACACACAGTAGTATATAAATTAGATAGTAATAAAGTAATATTATACTTAAGAAGATATTTGCAAGAATCTCTTAATATATATTTCCCCCCCCCGTTAATATATTTATGTGAAGAATTGGAAAACTATGGGCCAATAGTGAAAAAAAAAAGTATATATACACACACACACACACACACACACACAATACACACACACACACAGGTTTTAAATAATCTCATTTCAATTTTCTATTCATTATTAAATAGTTTTACTTTTAACATTCAGTTTATACTCTGTCACTTAAAACCAACATAAATCGCTATACCTGCTGAGAAAGTTTTGCTTAGCCACCCACTTTAACAAGAAAGAGACTTTTGGATTTGTCCAATTAACAGGATATTTTTAATCAGAGAAACCCTCATTTCTGTCATTTTACTTTCTGCCACATGAGTTATAATGGAATATATCACAAATGGTGACTTTTTTTCCCTGTACTTTTTAGTTGTTAACACATTTACACTGATTTTTTTTTAAGTTGGTACCACCGCAGTTCATTTTTATAGCCATAATTACTATGTCTTCAAAATTGTGTTCGCACTTTGACCTAATTTGACTGGTTTCTGCTCAAAGTTAAAAATTCTTCTTTACTTAACTTTGATCAAGTCCAATGCATGCTGTTATGGACTTCTTTGAACTGACCATATATACATGGGCTTTCTGAATGATATAGTCCCTGAAGATCTGTTAGCTTTTGTATATTTCCCAGAAAAATTCATAATAAGGCAAGAATAGGCTTGTTTATTCTACTAACTTAGATTTTAATCTAATAGGTTATATATAACACCTACAAATTAATCTATCATTTTTCAAAAGTTTGCATAGGATACTCCTAGAATAATGTTCCCACAGTAGATGCATTAAGAACTAAGTAAACTGTCTTTTTGGTCTTATATTTCCATTTAAACATTGTTCTACTTATATAGAGTAATGTATTTAAGTTTTGCCTGTAATTCTTTGAAGGATTTTCTTTATGTTTATTTTTTTCAAATTGGTACTATTTACATACATCCTCAAACTTTGTTAATCTTCAAAATCATTGTTCAGTGAGAAAAGCATTTGTAAACTCTACTGTATAATTTTACTATAAACAAACCTGCTCCTCCTGTTTGTTTACAGGGAAAGATCAAGATAAGTAGGGATGTGAATACACAGGAGGCTTGATTCATTAATTGCCTATCAGAAGGCTGAGAATAAAGTCTTTGAAAGACAGACAGGAATATTTGGAAAACAGCATGATTGCAAGGAAATGTTCTACACGGTGGCAATGTCATTGACCTGTAAACTCTAATGAACTGATTTCCCAAATGCCTATTTCTCTTGTAGATACAGTCACTTTATTTTATTGTCCAGGGGGTTAATCAACTCTACTCAATTTAAATATGATCATTTGTCTTCTGTATATCTATAAATTAGAAAAAAAAAACATGCGCAAGTATTCCTATACTTTCATTATTGCAATTCTCACTTTAGTCAACAGCCATTTCATAAACACTTGGCAAGTGTCTATTATGTGCTTGGTAGATTGATAGGAATGACCATTCCCATGACTACCAAAAATCTTTGATATGTTTTTTTAAGATACCCACTTAATTGTCTCAAAACTCCACATTCACTTTGACATAGTTCTTCTAATCATTGAATTGATTCAGAACTGAATAAAACCTTTTCTCTATAGGTCAACAATATATAGTTTATAGAAAAAAATGTTAAATATTTATCAGAATGACAGAAAAACTATTATTTACCAAAATATAGTGTTTAGTAATATTTAATTTTAATAATTGTTTCTCTCTTACTTGGTAAAAAACCACAATCTTCGTTAGTAACCTGACTGTAGTATAATTATCTATGACTCGCCTATGCTTTACCACTCACTTTTCATTTGTTAGGTTGAATTCTGGCACTTTCCACCAGATACTCAATCTTTGCCAGGATCCAGTTGTCCAGTTGTTTTGAGATTTGGACTATAGCAAGGTCCACAGTTTTGAGCACAACTCTAAAAGGAGAACAAACAGGAACAGCAAGATGAGAGAGAGAGAGAGAGAGAGAGAGAGAGAGAGAGAGAGAAATAACCGGTTATGGCATTAGAGACTTTTCGGAAATGCAGCAGAACTAAGTTTGTATCTTTCTGGATAGAAAACATTTGTTATCTGGAACAGGGTGCCCCAAAAATACTTAACTACAAATGACATTCATTAGATTGACATTCATTGGTCTTAGATAGTTTGCATCAGTGAATTTCTTATATTTTCTTTTTTTTTTAACTTTTCAAAGGAAAGCCAAAATGGAAGTGATAATTAAGGCAGATAAAAATAGAAATAAAATAATAGAAAATAATTCTATTTAATGAACTTGACCCTTATTTTGAGTACTTGGCTCCAAAACTCCCCCCGCCCACACACATTCCTAAAGAGAGTTCACTTGGGAGACTAGCCTTCCATTTTCTTTCAGCTATTCCCCCCCCCCCCCAGGGAACCCCATGGCCTTTTTGAAGATAAAGTGAGGAAAAATAACTGATGCATTTCTCCTTTAAGATTCCAGGCACTTTTAAACCCCAACACTCATTTAAACACTTAGCAAAGGAAATAGTGTATATTTATCTCACAGTTTCCCAGTGACTAGTAGGTTGTATGTACTTAGAGACCCAATTTATGTAGAAAACATTTTTATACTTTGAAAGTTTTTCTCTTGAACATTGGAACATGTTTAACTGTTCCTTTCTGAACTCTTTCCTTTCTGAACATAGACTTTTTAATGTAAAGAATGAGACAATGATAATTTTCATTTATCAGTTTTATTGCCTCAAAAGAACTAAGTCTTGCAGGAGGAAACAATGAAGCAGGCAGTAACTGGAGATAAAAAAGACACCAACGGAATTGAAGTTTACTGCATTAGATCTCAATGGAATCAATTATTCAACATCTGAAAAAAAAGTATTAATATTTGTAACATAAAACATAGTGCTGTAATATATAAATTAGATAGTAATAAAGTAATATAATACTTAAGATATTTGCAAAAATATGAGTTAATATGAAGGTCTGACAATTAAGTTCACGAACTTGTTGCAATGATGTTGCTAACCTTTTTTGATATCAGAGGGATTATTCATTATGAATTTGTACCAACTGGACAAACAGTTAACCAAGTTT